CCCCATGATTTTACCCAGGACCAATATCAAGGTAACCAGCCTACATGTACCCGGTTCATTCCATTGACCATTTCAAACACTGGCACAACATTCGCTTGTTCCCGGTCCTCAGGGACTGCCGCAGGTTTGTTAATGGGTCAGAGAGCGCCTCAGCCAATTCTTTGCACACTCTTGGGCCTGCTGATTGCAAATGGGTAGACTTTACTAGTTGTCATTTAAAATGCTAGTTACTGAGGGAATAGCAAACAGTTCCCTAGCACTGTCACATGTGAATTCGTCATCCAGCTTCTTTCCAAACGCAGAACAGGAATGTGTAGATGGATGAAGGCAGATAAGAGATTACTAGTTTAAAGCATCCGTCTGACCTCCTGTATAGCAAAGAGCATTAAATATCACCCAGTCGGCTTTTGAGACCAATAACTTATGTGTTCTTCCCAAAAACACGCCCCCAGCTCTCCCTGGTTCTTCCAAGAATTTCCTCCCTGGCCTGAGAACAAGGTCCTCGTTTGCGGGGTCTTTTACAGAGATCAAAACTCTTCTTTAGTCCCTCAAGTCTAGCCCTCCTAATGGGGTGTCTTTGGGGTTTTCTGGGCTGAGATCAGGAGCCCCCCCACAGCCCTCCTTCTGACATTGCTTCTTCCCCCCCCCCCCCCAGACCCTTGCCTATATTGTTACTGTGAGACGGAGAAAGTTGAGATCTCTGGGTAGGTTCCCAAGAGGCACCGAGCCAGACGGCAGCATGCGGCACCCCTGTGCCACCTCTCCGCGGCGCGGCGCACTAGGCATGGGGTCCTGGTGCATACCCTCAGTGCCGACGCCAGCAGCCGAGCGCCCAAGCAGTATGCAACCATTGGCTGTATGCCGCCGGACCGGGGGTGTCGGCCAAAGCCTGTAGCGTAGACGTGGCCACGGACCCTGGCAACAGAGAGGCCTCGGAGGCGGAAAAGCAAGACAGCCAAGCAGCAGCCCGTGAGCACGGCGCAGGACGTGGGAAAAGCTAGAGAGCGCGCTGTGGGGTCTGTTGTCGAGGGGCAGCACGCTTAGAAACCACTCTCGTTCGTGGTCCTCCCTGACTTTGTAAATAAACAAGATGGCAGCAAACTCCATCAATTTCTACTTCCACCAGGAACGTGCCCTGCGCCCTGAACTGTGACCAGCGGCTCAGGTCGAGAAGGGGTAAGGAAATCAAAATTCCTTCAGCCATGCCATAGGACTGAGCCCCAGATCACCCCGTTACATGGGTAGTGTTTCTCCCAGAAGGTAACCGTAATCAAATCACCGCTCAATCTTCTTTTCGGTAAGCTAACCAGCGAGATGGCTGGTGGATCCACAACTAGATCATAATCAAGGGTAAAAAAAAAAAAGGTATATCAAATGTTGTATCTAACCACTGCAATTTCATTTGAGGAGCTGCTGTTCGAACTGAAGTTGGGTTTGTTCGGAAAACCCACATGCTGATCGGGCGACGGGAGAGCTGATCTTAGCAGCAGAGACTGAAAGAGCTCGGCGTGTTTAGCCTAAACCGCCGGACGTCGCCACTGGGCAGGGAGAAGAGGAAGCAAAGCTGCAGGACAGCATAGGCCTAAAGCAAATGGGCCGTGGGTACATTTCAAAGGCGGTTTTTAACCAGGAACTGAGCGAGGTTCTGGAGCAGCCTTCCCGTTGGAGAAGCAGGGGGCAAACGGCTTCTCTGGTTTGAAGATGGGTTTGATCAGTTTCCGAAAGGGGTGAGCTGACTGGATTTGCTGACCCGAAGAACAAGGAGCAGACGCCCCAGGGAGTCCGGCCCAATCTTGGGGCCTGTCCCCGTCCCCCACACCCTCCCCGCCAGTTTTTGGCATCCAGAAGAAATAAAAGCCGGGACTTGGTCAGGAGAGGGAAAGAGTTTTTTTATTTCCTGGTTTTTCAGTGTCGAACTTCTCAGCGGGGGAGTTCGGGGGATTCTTTACAAACAAAGGGAGAGAAAAAAACAACACTAAACTATTTTAAACCAAAAAATGGGGATCTGGCTCTTGGGAACTAGAGTTGGCGCCACGGCAGGATATCACATGCCAAGGGATAGGGGAGGCCCAGTCAATCCAAAAATCTGAGATTCGCTCTCTTCCCACCTCCGGCTCCGGCGTCTGTCTCCCCTCCCCTCAAAACCAGCGCCGTGTCCCTTCTGCAGCTGAGCAAAGCGTCCGCAGATCTGCACTCCTGGGAGACCTCACAAGAACAAGCTGATGTGTGCGGCCCAGCGTTGAGGAGACCCTACAATAACAAGCCCTAGCGGCTGCAGCCTAGTGTCCAGCAGAGATCTCACAACTGCAAACCAGTGTGGGCAACCATGTGTTTATGAGGGACCCTACAATAATAAACCAGATTCTGCAGCACAGGAGTTTCCCTGTGGTACTGAACTAGCAATGTCTGCAAATGACCCTACAATAACAAGTGTGACGCTTGGCATTATGAGAGACCCTACAATAACAAAGGGGTGTGTGCAGCCCCAGCACTCCTGAGAGAATCTATAATAACAAGCATGACCTTGGGCATTTCTTAGAGACCCTACAATAACCGAAGGGTGTGGAACACACAACTGAGAGACCCTACAATAACACACCAGCATGCAATGGGAGAGAAGCATCTTTTCTTAGAATCATAGAACATCAGGATTGGAAGGGACCTCAGGTGGTCATCTAATCCAACCCCCTGCTCAAAGCAGGGCCAATCCCAAAACAGATTTTTACCCCAGTTCCCTAAATGGCCCTCTCAAGGATTGAACTCACAACTTTGGGTTTACCAGGCCAATGCTCAAACCACTGAGCTATCCCTCCCCCCAGGATGTAACTGGGTGAGAGGGCATGTGGAAGTTTGGAGGAGGGGTGCCTGAGTGACACCTCCACATCCTGCAGTCCAAAAGACAGGCAGGGCTAGATCCAAGCTCACAGGCTTGCCGGTTCTCCAGTCACCAGTGCGGACTAGGATGTGCGTGCATGTGAAGGGGTCTTGGCCATCACTAAGGATTTGGTGTCAGCGGTGAGATCCAAGCAGATGCCTCCACACGGGCTGGATGGCAGTGTGGCAGCTGAGGCTGCCTGGGTCGGTATCACACGGACCGCGGTGCAGGGAAGAATCTGGAGATTCCTTCTGGTCCAATTGGGTCCGAGTCTGTATGTTAAAGGCCCCGCCTAGTCTCTGGGGCAGGCTCCAGCCACAGCCTTAAAATTCCCCCCGTGGCTCCAATATTCTGCTCTCCCTAGATGATAGATTCATAAACTGGAATAAATCGGACGTAGCTCCATTGAGTCCATGGAGCCAGCCCCCGAGCTGGTGTGAACTGATGAGAGAGGGTCCCTGACAGGGGGTCACAGGGGACAGATGGGGCAAAACCACTGAGCAGCGCAATGCAGGAAGGGATAGTGTCCAGGAGACACTATGGCCCTGGATGTACAGAGACCCCTAGTGGGGATGCTGGGCGGTGCAGGCCGGGGGAGTTAGTAGTCTCAGTGCAGAATCCCTGTATATATATGGAGATATACCTATCTCATAGAACTGGAAGGGACCTTGGTCATCGAGTCCAGCCCCCTGCCTTCACTAGCAGGACCAAGTACTGATTTTGCCCCAGATCCCTAAATGGCCCCCTCAAGGACTGAACTCATAACCCTGGGTTTAGGAGGCCAATGCTCAAACCACTGAGCTATCCCTCCCCTGATAGCTCCCCTGATAGAATATATTCATTCTAAGTAACTGCTGGGTTTTCTGTCCCTTGGAGGCGAGGGCAGGGCTGAAACCAACCCCCTGGTAACTAGCCTAGGGGGGACAGCTGCCTGAGCACTTTCAAAAGACCCTGCAATAACAGACCGGCCCACACAGTCCCAACGCCCTCTAATAACATTTCTCTGTGCAGTCCCAAGCTTATGAGGGACCGTACAATGACGAGCCAGCATATGTAGTGAGACCCTACAATAACAAACCAGCGTGTACAATGAGACCCTAGAATAACAAACCATTGTGTACAACCCAGCACTAATGAGTGATCCTGCAATAACACACTGGCTTGCGCTCATGAGTAACCCTACAGCAATAGATTGCCATTTGTAATTAGACCCTACAAAAACAAACCAGCATGTGCAATGAGACCCTACAATAACAAACCGGCAGGTGCAGAGAGACCCTACAATAACAAACCGATCTGTGCAGCCCAGTGCTCGAGTGATCCTACAAAAACAAACCGGCACGTGCAAGGATACCCTACGATAACAAACAGATCTGTGCAGCCCAGCGCTCATGAGTGACCTACAATAACAAACTGACATGTGCCAGAGACCCTGCAATAACAAACCAGTGTGCGCGGCCCAACACCAAGAGGGCACCCGAGCAGAACATGCCGGCCTGTGGCTACGCCAGCAGGGAGAGCCGGAGGTGGGAGGCAGGACGCGCAGGCCGGCCGGGGCTGCCAGGGGCCCAGCCCGGCTAGTCGATGCCACGGTGCAGTTTGAGGTGGCGGGAGAGGTTGCTGAAGGTGATGAAACCCTTGTGGCAGACGCTGCACTGGAAGGGGCGCTCCCCGCTATGGAGCAGCCGGTGCCGTTTCAGGTAGCACTCGTGCCGGAAGAACTTGCCGCACTCGGTGCACTGGTAGGGTTTCTCGCCTGTGTGCACCAGCACATGCCGGTCCAGGTCCCGCGGGCTGCGGAAGAACTTCTCGCACTCCGTGCACTTGTAGAGCTTCTTGCCGGGCCGGGCGGGGAAAGCCCGCAGCTCCAGCCGCGGCAGCAGGTGGCGCTCCAGCTCCCCACCGGCCGGCGGCACAGGCCCCGTCACCACCGGCTGGGGGGCGCCCTCCGGGGGCAGCAGCATGGCGTGGCTCAGCTGGTGGGCCTCCAGGGGCGGCAGGGCCCCGAAGCTCATGCCACAGATGCCGCAGGCGAAGGAGGCCTCGCCCGTGTGCGCCGCCAGGTGAGCGGCCAGGGCGCCGGCGTTGGCAAAGAAGGTGCCACACTCACACTGGTACAGGCTGTCCAGGGGGCGGGTGTCCTGGGGCTTGCAGGCCGGGCAGCCCGGCCCCTGTGGCTCCTGCTGCCCCGGGGCCCCATTGCCCGCGCAGCCTTGGCAGGGCAGGAGCAGTGGCCGGTCCTTGGCGTGGGTGAGTTTGTGGCGCTCCAGCAGGGAGGGGGCGTTAAAGTCGCGCTCGCAGTCGGGGCACTTGAAAGGCTTGATGTCGGTGTGAGCCAGCCAGTGCTTCCCCAGCTCGGGCGCCAGCCGGAAGTGGCGCCCGCAGGCCCCGCAGCCATAGGGGGCCGCCCGCCCCTGGCCGCACAAGCGCTCCAGGCAGCGGGTGGCGCTGGGAGGCTCGGGGGCGCCCCCTCCGGGGGGCGGTCGGTGCTGGCGCTTGAGGTGCCGGCCCAGGCTGCTGCGGGAGGAGAAACGGAGCTCGCAGACGTGGCAGCAGTAGGGTTTCTCGCCCGTGTGCACCACCTGGTGGTGGAGCAGGCCGGTGGAGTCGCGGAAGCCCTTGGGGCAGACGGTGCAGCGGTAGGGGCGTTCGCCGGTGTGGCTGCGGATGTGGTTGACCAGGTTGAAGGAGTGCTTGAAGCTCTTGCTGCAGTGCGGGCACTGGAAGGGTTTGAGTTCCGTGTGCCGGGCGAAGTGGCGCCGCAGGTCTGAGCGGTACCGGAAGCTCTTGTCGCACTCGGAGCAGTGGAAGGGCACCCGGGCGCCCGCCCCGTTGTCCGTCAGTGGGGTCGGTGCCAGCCCGTCAGGGCCGTCCTCCAGGTCTGAGCACGGCACCATGCGCTCGATGGTGCCAGGTGCCCGGCCGGGGGGCTGCCCGGGCTCCTCTGCCCAGCCGGTGCCCAGTCCCCCGGGCAGATCAGTGCCATAGCGCTCCATCCCCGCCGGGTCCCACGGTCGCCTCTGGGAATCGCAAACAGGAGCCGAGTCAGTGATGCTCCCTCTAGGGGGCCCTGGCCCTGATCCCGCCCCAGGGCAGGGACTGGCTGGCTCAGGGGGGCAGGGAATGGGGCACGGGGCTTGTCCCCTCTAGGGGGCGCTGGCCTCGATCCCTGGCTCAGGGGACTGGTAATTACCTGCAGACCGTTATAAACCCGCAGGCCTCGTTAATCTCCTGATCCCCATTGCCAGGTTCTCAGCGCCCCAGGCCGAGGAAGCAGATTAATTCCAAAGCCCTGGCTCTGCCCCTCTATTTATAACCGCTCGGGCCACCAGCCAGCGGGAACCTCCTGTGACTGGCGGGGGCGGGGCAGGACTCCTGGGTTCTCTCCCCGGCTCTG